ACAAGATTTACAAATTGATTTAAATTAGCACTTTTCAGATACATGTAAATATTTCTTCAATATATATACATAATATGTACAGTGCACCTCATGTACATATGAAATTATACACAAAATAATTGAGCATATGCAATAGCTTGACATGAACTAAATTCTGACATGAATTTCTTTTCTTTTAGGTCAGCTAAAGTATATACAAGCTAAAATCTATACATAGAAATAACATATACAGAGAAAAAGAAATATACATTAATAGTATACAATATAATATAATATGTACAGTGCACCTCATGTACATATGAAATTATACACAAGATAATTGAGCATGTGCAACAACTTGACATGAACTAAATTAAAAATATCAGTGACTTTTCAGTCTATAAAATGACATCCATTGCCCATTATTTCATCAAGTAGGATCAATGTTATTTTCAACAATTATATTCCTTGTAAAATAAGAAGTTAGCCTCAGATCCATATTCATGATAATACAAGTAGAGTCCATTCATATTTTGTAGAAGATGCTTTTACAATAAAAGTCACAAAGATTAATACAGGTCTTAATTCATGCTTAAAGTCAGATAGGTGCAATACCAGGCCAGTGTCTTTTGTTGAAATGAGATTTACAAATTTGATAAAATAGGCACTTTTCAAATGATGACATGGTAGAGATTGTTTTTCATCACTGTTATTTTCACAGCTATATTCATAATTTGATTTCAATAGCTTCATGATACCCAAAGTATGTAGGAAGAATCTGAACAGATACATTCTCAAGTCCTTTCACATATACATGGTCAAGAAGCGTTCCACCTTCAGTAGTAGGTTCTGAAACCATCTGTGTAAAACCATTTGATTCCATCATAGTTTGTATTGAAGATGATGACAAGATATTTTCATTAAAATCACCCATGATGATGGATCGACCAGAATGTTTATCAAGTTCTTGAACAAGTTGTAGCATATGCTTTTTGAAAATTTCAACTGTGTATGAGTTTGGTCTGTAGATAACAACAACATGAGCTTGTAGTTCCATAACGTACATACACAGATACTCCAAATTAGATACTGGCAACTGAGTAAATTCACATGCTTTGACTTGACTAGAATAAACTCCAACACCACCATGTCTTTGATTTTTCAATTCCATCAGTATTGGTTCAGATGATTCATAACACTGTGATCTGGGTTTATGATGTAACGTAAATCCATCAAGTTTTGGTTCATCAGCTGGATGTGAATCAGATAACCATGTTTCTGTCAAGCAAATGAAATCAGCCTCAAAAAATCTCTTGTCATTCTGCAGATCTTTAAAGTGTGATTGAAGGCCCTCAATGTTTTGCATAATCAGCTTGCATGTTGGATGACCATCATAGATTCTCTGATTTCTTGTCATGAACTTTGGCATACTAGACACTGCTGCTTCAACTTTTGCACTGCTGTATATCACTGATTCTTTGAAATTCTGAATGATAAGACCATCAAGAGAAGATACTCGACTTAGTGCTACATAAGCTTGTCCTGCAGCAAATACCTTGTGTAATGAAACAACAGCTTTGTTAACAGTTATACCTTGTACTTTGTGTATGGTGCAAGCCCAGGCTAGTTTCAGTGGAAATTGTCGTCTAATGCCTCCATTGTTTGAAACAGTTTCTTCTTGTGGCTTAATAGGAGTACTGTTAGGATCTAATTCAGATGCAGTGCTTTCCATTCTTCGTAATTTCTGACCAACATCAATTTTGTCAAACACGATATGTATTTTTGAAGGAAATGTTTCACCATCAGTCAAAGATATGTGGCTTATAGTTCCAAAGACTCCATTCACAAGACCATCTGACGTATCAATATTCTTTGTGATCATCACACGCGCACCAATTGCAAGATTGAGACTTTTCTGTAAGACTGAGTTATGAACTTTTCCATGAGGTATTTCTCTCTTTTCAAGTTTCCCTGTTTTTGCATTTCGTGAGAAATCTTGAGCGTCAATACAAATTGGATCTGAGCATTTAGAATGAAGAGCAGCAATATTGTATTCATCAACCTGAGCATTTGTTGCAAAAATGTGAATGCTTTCTGGATCATCTTCACCAGTTTCTTGTTGTTTGAGCATATGTATATCTCTTGTTTCTAGAGGGTCTGACTTTTTTCGTGTTCGTAACCGATTCAGAAGTTGTGCAAATGCAGGGTCCTTTTGTCTCATGATCTTTGTCAATTCTGCGATAGAAAAATTATCATTCCACAGGTCATATCCATTTTTGGCAACATGCAATGGTGTTCCTTTAACGGGTGATAACTGATAAAAGTCTCCAACAGCAATGACAGATACATTTCCAAATGGTGAATAATCAGCAGTTTGTTTGATCTGTCTCAGTCTACCATGTATGTATGATAACAGCTTGTGATCAACCATTGAAATTTCATCGATGATAAGAATGTGAATGCTTTGCAGCTTTGCTCGAAGGCTATTGATCTTTTCCTCACCAAGTGGCTGGTATGGCAGTTTTGCATCAATTCCAATTGAGAGTGCACTGTGTATCGTGGAAGCATGTATGTTAAATGCTGCAATACCGGTTGGAGCTACCAAAAGTACAGAGTTATCATCTGGATTATTTTGCATGGGTGCTAGCAGTCGTGTACATTCATAGCAAATTGCCTTGATCAAATGGCTCTTTCCAGTACCAGCTCCACCAGTCAGAAATAGATTAAATGCATCAGGATTTTTGCCATTCCTTTTATCCAAACACCATTGTCTTATTTTATAGAAAACCTCAGCTTGTTCCTCATTCATTGATCTCAGAATAGTTTCTGCTTCTTGTCTTGACATTGTACTCTGAAGAACTTCTGTTTTTGATAATGTGTTATCCTTCAGTAGCAAATCAGGCATATTTTTAGGAGTTTCACTTTCACTTTCCTCATCGGTCATACACGTGTGTTCACCTTCACATGCTATTCTTTCAGATTCAGTTTCAGGACAAATTTGAGCCCAAGCATCTTCCAATTGACCTGTTTTGTCAAACAATTCTTCTGCTTCATCAATAACATCACCATCCTTTTCAAACATTGCTTTGTTTCTGTCAACAATCTCTTTCACAGTTTCCAAAGGACAGTTCTCAATCTGAACAGCGCCAGTTTCATAGAAATCTTCATACGAATTGAATGCGGGTGGTTTTAATTGTGTATCAATTGTGTATGGCAAGAATAACTGCAATATACTGTGATAGTGTTTTTCTGGATTCTTTGTACGTGAAAATCTGGCATATCTGATAACTGCTGCATCAGTCCGTGTACGTTTTTTCACATGTCCAAGGCCATTTTGCAATGTTACTACTGGACTACGGCGTTTGTCATCAGAAACATTTGATACTTCAGATTTTGGTAGCACTCTGTATTCTGAGCAAAACGTTGCAAGACACATGTTATCAAACTCGTCACCTTTGGGTCTGCTCTTGTATCGATCAACAATGCTTGTCATCCACATTTCATCTTCATCTAGTTCACCACTTTTTCGTTTGTTTTGCAAGGTTTTAAGAGGCAAACTCATTCTGACAGGGTCTACGGTTGGAATGAACTGTACTTTACGTGATCCTTCCTTCAATCTCAAATTGCAAACTCGAAAGACAGCTTCTTGAGCACTCACTTCTCTATTGTGTAAGTATACAGCACCAAGTTTCTTGAGAGCAGATTTTGCATCAGAGTTATCCTTATTTGCTTCTGTTTGTGCATGATTCAACAGTAATCCCATTTCTCTTTCTGCCTTTGAGATATATGAAATGATGTAGACAACACAAGAGTAGGCATCAACTATGTACTGAATATCCATGTTCGCATTCCAACATCTGAGCAGATCTGCATTGTACTGATTAACCCATACATCATTGGGATTGCGTTTCATCACAACATTTGTCTTTTTGGATAGAGTATCACATGCTAGTTGAAATATGTCTTGCGAAATACCAATGGCAGAGAACAATGCATCAACTGACTCATATGTTTGCTCATCATTTGTTAATCCTTGCCAAATCAGTTTCAAAATTCTTTGAGCATCTGGTATGGACATAAATTTCATATTGAAAAGATCTTCACAGCACTGTTTCAAGGTTTTGGGCACATCATCTTTTGGTTTATTGTCAAGACCTCCTGCTCGTGATATGAAAGTTTCATTGCTTGGAGGACGTGGAAAATTGAATCTGCAGTTTGTGCCATTTTTTTTGCATGACTTTGAATGTCTTTTACTATGTTTTTGTACACTGTTGACAATATCAAACAATTCTTCATCATTCTCAACTGAAGGCATATCACATGTGACATATTTATCAACGAAAGATGTTACTGACTCATCATTATCGTCATCAACCTTTGGAGCATTTTCAACCCAGAAAAGACAGTGAGTGTGTGGGGAACCACGGTGCTGAAATTCTACACGATAGAAGTAATCTTTTATCTTTCCAATTGGTTCAGCTGGTGACATGATAACCTCTTTCAAAAAGCAATGGAATCTTTGGTCAAACATTCGTGCTGCTGTCACTGGATTTTTCCTTAGTATAGAACATTTTTCAGACCAGTCAAGTTCAGTGGCTTTTCGTGTATCACCTGATTCTCTGAGTATTGTTTCAATCATTTCTGGCCATCTCATATCAGCTGATGAAAATGAACAAAACCAAGTTGGAATGCCGAGTTGTCTTATCATAGCAAATAAATCTTTCTGAGCAGACTGCCAGTATGGTGGAGTTCCTCTGATAGGTTTCAAGAACTTGTAGCCTTCATCACATTTTAATATCTCTCTCAAAGAATCAGAATCTGTAAGATTTTCAGATGTAACATTTTTACCATGTGACTGTGATCCTTTTCGCATTGCAATGGAAACATTTGACATAACTTGATCAATTTCAGAAAGATACTGTGCATAAAATATGTAGTCAGTGTTTTGAGCAAATCTACTATCAGCATTCATGAGGCGTGTATGTAGATAACGTGCAATTGTAATTCTCTCTTCACGATCATCATGGAATGTAGGCGACCCTGATGGGAACAGTACAGGAAATGACCTTGCTTCATTGCTTTTGTCTGTCAGTAGTCGAACAGGATTATTTTCTTCAGCAGGTGCAATACAAGTTATCTTTTCAAAATGTTGATCCATAACTTCTTGGCCAATATCAAGCGGTTGTAGACATGTATTCATGAGTAATCCATGATCTTTCTCAGACTCTTCATTTTCATTAGTTTGTGTGTTTGAGCTATCCTTTTCAACCTCAGGTAATGTTTCAGTATCAGAATCAATAGTTTCATCTTCCTCATCAATAACTGGCAAGGGATTGACCCAATCTGTATTAAAATTCACATCACTGTACCATTTGTTAGTTGTTTGAAGATATTCCAAAGCATTTTTAACATGAGCCTTGTTGACAAACTGATATTGATAATGGCCTTTGTAAGTAATCTTCCTTTTCAGTTTCACTCTAATCATCTGATCATCAACATCACTTCTTGGTAACATACTTGTGCTTTTTTGAATGTTAGAGGGAACACATACTACAGGTCCGTGTACGCCATGTTGTCCACCTTTTGGTAATGCCATCATTTTCATGAAAGGAATATTCAAGGCAATCAAGTGCTGCTCTAGTTCATTGAGACATTGCAGTTGCATAGGAACAGGGGTCAGTTCAAGGTTGTTAACAACAGCTTCTCCAGGCATTTTACCAGACAAAAGTTTCCTATGACAAGTATAGCAAATCCATAATGAGCCTTCTGGACTATTGACAAATGAACATTGGTCATCACAACTGTCTGAGCACCTGTGTAGGTAATTTTCTGTAATGCATCTCTCAGCAACAGTGGCAATATTACTTCCTTTGCTTTCATATACTGTTCTTTTACATTGTACAACTTGTTTTTTGAAAAGTCTTCGATGGCACACAGAGCACACAAATTCTGGACCTTCAGATATGTTTTTGGCAAAGGATCTCGTAACATTTTCCATTATATTCCTTTCGTTTTTTAATTGCATAACTCTGGCAGATTGTCTCTCTTTCAAATTAGTTCTGTGTTCACCACTAGTTTTGTACTTGGCAATGCTTGCTGATTTAACAGATTCTCTGTGCTTTTCATCGTTTGCATATTTCTCGATACTGTTGGTTTTTACATTTTCTCTGTGCTTTTCATCCTTTGCATATTTCTCAATACTGTTGTTCTTTTTATTTTGTCTGTGCTTTTCATCCTTTGCATATTTCTTTGAACTGAGATTTTTTAGAGCCTCCTTGTGCTTTGCAAATTTTCGATACTGCTGACTGCTGTAAGACTTTATATCTTCCTTGTGTTTTGAATCTGTGGCATATTTCTGACTGCTGTACGTTTTAACATCTTCTCTGTGTTTTGAATCTGTGGCATATTTCTGACTGCTGTACGTTTTAACATCTTCTCTGTGTTTTGAATCTGTGGCATATTTCTGACTGCTGTACGTTTTAACATCTTCTCTGTGTTTTGAATCAGTGGCATATTTCTGACTGCTGTGAGTTTTAACATCTTCTCTGTGTTTTGAATCAGTGGCATATTTCTGACTGCTGTGAGTTTTAACATCTTCTCTGTGTTTTGAATCAGTGGCATATTTCTGACTGCTGTACGTTTTAACATCTTCCCTGTGTTTTGAATCAGTGGCATATTTCTGACTGCTGTACATTTTAACATCTTCCCTGTGTTTTGAATCTGTGGCATATTTGTTAGTACTGTACATTTTGACAAATTCCTTGTGTGCTTCATCATCTTTGTATTGGTTTGAACTTTGCAGTTTCTTTCTGTTTCTGAATTCAGGGTCATTGTTGTACTTTTCTTTCTCTTTATCAACCTTTCTCTGTTTCACATTCAATGTTTCTGACATATCTTTCTCTGATTTTCTTTTGGCTCTCATATATTCTCTTTTAGCTTTTGCTCGTGCAATCTTTCCCTTTGGTTTTTTAGTTTGTCCTTGATCATGGCTCTGTTCTTGAGAATCAGTACATTTTTGTTTTTTCAAGACTGAAGAATCTGCAGATAGCTGGTCAGCATTTCTTTTGATATTCATATGTCTCTGACAATATTTATCTGTGCATGAGTTTCTCAAAGCATCTACTGTGTTCACACAAACAACCACTTCATAATGTGATCCACCAACATGATTTAGATATATGCCTGTTCCTGTGTTCACTGTGTCTGAGTTTAACTGCCTGCTTGAATATCTCAGCCATCTGTTATCAGAGTATGTGCATATGTCAGTGCCCAGTAGATTTGCAGCTGCAAGTATTTCAAGTTCTGTAGCCCATGTTCCAACATACCACATTCTGGATTGAGAAATGTACTGTTCAACTGACTCGTAACCTGGTCTTAAGAAGTGATGGAAACTTTGAGCATGTTCTTTTAGATGTGTCACAATAGCCAGTCTGATTTTCCTGTGGTTGTTTTCTTTGCCCGAGATTGCATATGAAAGACTTCTAAAGAAGCAATTGCCATCACCTTCAATGGATACTGTTCTGCATGGTACATCAATTTCTACACCAAATTCATGATCTTGAGACTTTGCTACACATTGGTGTTGAATATCAAGCTTCTTGCATAACTGTTCACATACATTTGATGATACAGGGCAGAATAGCATTGCATGTTGGTCAGTTCCAGTTTCTTTCAAACTACCATCTTGTGAGTTGTCGTCACATTCATCAATATGCATCATGTCATCTTGATCATTCTCATTTGTTTCACATGCCGTATCATCACTTTGGTCAATCTCAATCATATCTAGTGTACCATCCTCAGCAATATGCACTACATCATCATTGTCATTGGTATCACTTGCATTGTCAGACTGATTGTCATGTGGCTGTATATCAGTGCTAATTTTCATGCCTGTCATTTCAAATTGTGAGAATGCATTTAAGTTCATTGACCGAGCAAGATTCAAACAGTGTTCATAGACCTGAAGCAGACTTGAGTATTGGATAAGTATGCTAGTGCCATTAGTGACTTGTAATCCTTCAGTGTTCCGGGAATGGGAATCAAACACGTGGTATTTGTTATTTCTTTCTATCACAGCAAATGTTGATCCTCCAAATGTCGTAAAAGTAGCATCATGTTGTGAAAATATTGTTTGAAGTGCAGCATCGAGACACATTTGTTGTGGAATAGCAATAATTTCTTCAGTATCTTTCATCACAAAGCCAGTCAGAGAATCGCCAGACACAAATCTATATTCTTTGCCAAAGAAGTCTACTGTTGGACAAATATCTGACACAAGAAGGTATGCACTACGACTTGTTGATTGTCTCTGGTTTATAGAATCTACATAAAGTTCGTTTCCTCTACAAAGAACTGTGTCAAGATCATAGCTGTCCCATGTGGAAATGTCTTTAATTTGATTGTACATCATTGCCATTGCACTGTTTGCTACACACTGTTTGCCACTGTTTTTTCCAAATCTAGTGTGACCTTGATTGAAAGAACCATGTACAGTCTCATTTGTGTCAATATCAAACATTTCCACACTACTATCCTGTGAGTTGTCTTCGAGTTCATCAATATGTACTACATCATCATTCTCATTGGTATCACTCGCACTGTCAGACTGATTGTCATGTGGCTCTACATCCTGTGAGTTGTCTTCGAGTTCATCAATATGCACTACATCATCATTGTCATTTGTATCACTTGCACTGTCAGACTGATTGTCATGTGGCTCTACATCCTGTGAGTTGTCTTCGAGTTCATCAATATGCACTACATCATCATTGTCATTGGTATCACTTGCATTGTCAGACTGATTGTCATGTGGCTCTACACCAGTGGTAATACTCATTCCTGTCATTTCAAATTGTGAATATGCATTTAAGTTCATTGACCGAGCAAGATTGAAACAGTGTTCATAGACCTGAAGCAGACTTGGGTATTGGATAAGTATGCTAGTACCATTAATGACTTGTAATCCTTCAGTGTTCCGAGAATGGGAATCAAACACGTGGTATTTGTTATTTCGTTCTATCACAGCAAATGTTGATCCTCCAAATGTCATAAAAGTAGCATCATGTTGTGAAAATATTGTTTGAAGTGCAGCATCGAGACACATTTGCTGTGGAATAGCAACAATTTCTTCAGTATCTTTCATCACAAAGCCAGTCAGAGAATCGCCAGACACAAATCTATATTCTTTGCCAAAGAAGTCTACTGTTGGACAAATGTCTGACACAAGAAGGTATGCACTTCGACTAGTTGATTTTCTCTGGTTTATAGAATCTTCATAAAGTTTGTTTCCTCTACAAAGAACTGTGTCAAGATCATAGCTGTCCCATGTGGAAATGTCCTTAATTTGATTGTACATCATTGCCATTGCACTGTTTGCTACACACTGTTTGCCACTGTTTTTTCCAAATCTAGCGTGGCCTTGATTGAAAGAACCATGTACAGTCTCATTTGTATCATGAATATATGCATCAGTATCAGTACTTTCATTGAAGCTGTCATTATAACGTACATGCGTTGATCTAGGCATAGTTTCAGTTTCAAGCTTATGGTCTGCAATTTGTTCAAGAGCATTTTCATGAATATTTCTATTGTATTTGTTATGGAGGTTACCTTCCCCCTGTTCATTTGGTTTCTGCGTGCATTTGTTACGGAGGTTAGCTTCCCCCTGTTCATTGGTTTTGTTTGTGCATTTGTTACGGAGGTTAGCTTCCCCCTGTTCATTGGTTTTGTTGGTGCATTTGTTACGGAGGTTAGCTTCCCCCTGCGCACAATTTTTAACGAGGCTGACCTCCTCGGCATCAAGTTTTGTGAGGCGATGCTCCTCAGTTCGTCGCTGCTTCCCCCTCTGTTGCTGCATAGCCTGGATCTTCCTGCTGTTCTTCCGTGGCATCTCTGAAACATAAACAAGAAAGAAAGAGGATAAGATATATGGATGAACAACTACTTTTTTTACAATTAGGTGCAATGCTTTCGTGTGGGTTCTAACACTGTTATCACCTTCTGTTATCACCTACACGAAAGCATCACTCCTAAATATTATAAAGTTGTTCATCCATATATCTTATTCTTACTGTCTACTCAAACTTGTAATGAAAAAAAAGAGACAAGAGTGATCAGCTACTAGAGGGTCATCTAATCACAAACATTATGTGTGTGCAGTATGATTGACAAAGTTACAAATACTTATATATAGCATGTGACTTTAATTTATTGTATAAAATATATTCAAAGGAGACTCTGTGTTTGCAATTATGAAATATAAAATATATGATTGCTGGAAATAATGTCTATCACTAACAATGAATTACTTAGTCTCTTAGTTTGAGTTTGGCATTATCTCAACTTGATGATCAAGTATGTATTACGAGTATTATTACATTTGACTTTTGTTTTGATTATACGGTGTTGAGCAATGTTGCAGTAGAAATTATACTCACATTTATTTTGTCAAATGCATTACAAGTACAGAATTGGTTTTATTACCTTCTTGAATTGGACAAAATTATTTGAATATTTGATTGTTTGACCTTTGATGTTTGTTCTTAACTCCCAATTAAGGCCTGTAATTAAAAACAGAGGTACCAATTCTGAGCACTGCTCTGCTATTCCTGGAATATTGAAAAGCAGCAGAAAGTCATTCTCACTCTCTTGACGCATTCATTCTTTTATTGTGTTTTTAGATTGTGCAGAGTCCAACAGTTGATTCTGTGCAGAGTTGCATCCCTTGGCATGCCAGAAACCTATGATTTAAGTTCGTCAGCATCATACATGTGCTCGTGGGTTTCACCGAAGTGGTAAATGTCTGTGACCTGCACTGTGATGGTTGGTTGGTTGTTTTACGCCGCACTCAGCAATATTCCAGCTATATGACGGTGGTCTGTAAATAATCGAGACAATCCATGACATGCATCAACCAAGTCAGCGAGCCTGACCACCCGATCCCGTTAGTCGCCTTTTACAGCAAGCATGGATTGCTGAAGACCCATTCTACCCCAAAATCTTCACGGGTCAACACCGTGATATAACTGGAATACTGTTAAAAGCGGTGTTAAACCCAAACGCAGACAATCCAGTGATTGGTATTGTTAACAACAATCCACATCCTCTTGCATGGTAGGTCTTGACGATTCATCGTTGTTTCATGCCACTCAGCAATGTTGCAGCTATATGAAGGCAGTCTGCATATAGACAATCCAGTGATTGGTATTGTTAACTACAATCCATATGGTACAAAAGACAAAACACTGTTTACATAAGTCTTTACTGTGACAATCTTACATAATGATCTTCCATCAATTCAGCATCCAATTCATTGTTAGCACTCAGCAATGTTGCAGCTATATGATCCTCTTGCATGGTAGGTCTTGACGATTCATTGTTGTTTAATGCCACTCAGCAATGTTGCAGCTATATGAAGGCAGTCTGCATATAAACTGGACCAGACAATCCAGTGATTGGTATTGTTAACAACAATCCTCATCCTCTTGCATGATAGGTCTTGACGATTCATCGTTGTTTCATGCCTCTCAGCAATGTTGCAGCTATATGATGGCAGTCTCCAGATAATATGGACAGGACCAGTATCCTGTTCTTATGAAATTCAGCGATATTGCAGCTAGATGGTAGCATATAAATATTCAAAATGTAGAAATTGACACAATACATTGTTTTCTCTACCTTTTTATTTCATAAGAACTAAATAATGCCACACTCAGCAATGTTGCAGCTATATTGGACCAGACAATCCAGTGATTGGTATTGTTAACAACAATCCACATCCTCTTGCATGGTAGGTCTTGACGATTCATCGTTGTTTCATGCCTCTCAGCAATGTTGCAGCTATATGATGGCAGTCTGCATATAAATTGGACCAGACAATCCAGTGATTGGTATTGTTAACAACAATCCACATCCTCTTGCATGGTAGGTCTTGACGATTCTTTGTTGTTTCATGCCTCTCAGCAATGTTGCAGCTATATGATGGCAGTCTGCATATAAATTGGACCAGACAATCCAGTGATTGGTATTGTTAACAACAATCCACATCCTCTTGCATGGTAGGTCTTGACGATTCTTTGTTGTTTCATGCCTCTCAGCAATGTTGCAGCTATATGATGGCAGTCTGCATATAAATTGGACCAGACAATCCAGTGATTGGTATTGTTAACAACAATCCACATCCTCTTGCATGGTAGGTCTTGACGATTCATCGTTGTTTGATGCCACTCAGCAATGTTGCAGCTATATGATGCCAGTCTCCAAATAATTCAGCGATATTGCAGCTAGATGGTAGCATATAAATATTCAAAATGTAGAAATTGACACAACACATTGTTTTCTCTACCTTTATATTTCATAAGAACTAAATAATGCCACACTCAGCAATGTTGCAGCTATATTGGACCACACAATCCAGTGATTGGTAATGTTAACAACAATCCACATCCTCTTGCATGGTAGGTCTTGACGATTCGTCGTTGTTTGATGCCACTCAGCAATGTTGCAGCTATATGAAGGCAGTCTGCATATAAACTGGACCAGACAATCCAGTGATTGGTATTGTTAACAACAATCCACATCCTCTTGCATGGTAGGTCTTGACGGTTCGTCGTTGTTTGATGCCACTCAGCAATGTTGCAGCTATATGAAGGCAGTCTGCATATAAACTGGACCAGACAATCCAGTGATTGGTATTGTTAACAACAATCCACATCCCCTTGCTTGGTAGGTCTTGACGATTCATCGTTGATTCATGCCACTCAGCAATGTTGCAGCTATATGATGTTTTTTATTAAATTCAGCTATATTGCAGCTAGATGGTAGCATATAGATATTCAAAATGTAGAATTTGACACAACACATTGTTTTCTCTACCTTCATTATTTCATAAGAACTAAATAATGCCACACTCAGCAATGTTGCAGCTATATGATGGCAGTCTGCATATAAATTGGACCAGACAATCCAGTAACAACAATCCACATCCTCTTGCATGGTAAGTCTTGACGATTCATCGTTGTTTAATGTTGCAGCTATATGAAGGCAGTCTGCATATAAATTGGACAAGCATCCTGCTCTTATGAAATTCAGCTATATTGCAGCTAGATGGTAGCATATAGATATTCAAAATGTAGAAATTGACACTCATTGTCTTTTTCTACCTTTATTTTTCTTTTTTATTATTTCATAAGAACTAAATAGTGTTGCAATGTTGCAGCTCTATGGCAGTTTGCATGTTGGACAAAACAATCCAGTGATTGGTGTTGTGCATGACAATCTGTTTAATACTACACAGCAATGTTGCGGCTATATATAGCAGTCTGCAAATAATCTGAACAGAACCAGACAATACAGTGTTTGGCATTGTGAAAAAACATCAGCATCTTTTTGATGCCATAAATCAGCAATGTTGCAGCTCTATGTTGACAGTTTGCAAATAATCTGGACTGCACCAGACAATCCACATGATTGGATGTCATTCAGCAATGTTGCAGCTTGCAAGTTGGACAAAGCAATCCAGTGATTGGTGTTGTGCATGGTAGGTCATGGTTGTTTAATGCCACACAGCAATGTTGCGGCTATATATGGCAGTCTACAAATAATCTGAACAGCACCAGAGAATACATCTTTTTGATGCCATAATCAGCAATGTTGCAGCTCTATGATGACAGTTTGCAAATAATCTGGACTGCACCAGACAATCCACATGCTTGGATGTCACTCAGCAATGTTGCAGCTATATGATTGCAGTCTGCATTTCAGTGATTGGTATTGTGAACAACAATTCACATCAGCATCCTGTTTTTCAATGCCATACTCAGCAATATTTCAACTAGATATAACTAGATTTCAACTAGATATATATATGTACTAAATAATGCCACACTCAGCAATGTTGCAGCTCTATGGCAGCTTGCAAGTTGGACAAAACAATCCAGTGATTGGTGTTGTGCATGACAAATCTGGCATGGTAGGTCATGGATGTTTAATGCCACAGCAATGTTGCGGCTATATATGGCAGTCTACAAATAATCTGAACAGACTCCAAAAATTGAGTTCCAAATTACCAATAATGCCACTCAGCACACTGCAGATGGACCAGACAATCCAGTGATTTGCATGATAAGTGTTGGCGATTCAATTCGTTTATGTTTTTATCACTCAGCAATGGTGAAGCAATATAATGACAGTATGTAAATAATTGGTCCAATGCAGATTGTCTGGTCCAATCCATGTTGCTCAGGTACAGGTTGCTGTATTGTTTCATTGACACACTCGGCGCTATTGCAGCCATGTAATGACAGCTAGTAACTAACTGGCCAGTTATTGGTATTGTCAACAATATTGCAGTTATGCATGTGGCCAGTACACAATTCAACAATATTGCAGCTATGCATGTGGCCAGTACACAATCAATATGTTGCTAATATCACAATATACATGCTATACTTACATCAATTATTGCGTCCAAATCACGTCCTCTTCAACAGCTCCAAATTGGAGAGCAGCTGGTCACAGTGAGATGTCATCTTTGTATACTGGTTCAGATGTTATGTTTTTGTTTGTTTGTATATTGTATGATACAACAGACCGCAATAGTGCCACAGCCAGCTCCTTGTAAATAACAGTCACCAGACAGTCCAGTGATTGACATCTGTGAGCAACGATATACACCCTTGGGGTTAATTGCCCCCATAGGTAAAATATGTGAAGCCCATTTCTGGTGTCCACTGTGGTGAATATTATTGGAATATTGCTTAAAGTGGGGTAAAACAATACTTACTCACACACACACTTGAAAGTATTTCATTCTGTTCTTGTGTATTTGAAAGTGTGCAGATGCTGTTGGCTAGCCCAGATAAAGCGTTCGCTTGTATTGTCAAAGGTTTG